GGAGATAAGGTTTCTCTGGTATAGTAGCGGAGGCAGGGGGGGGGGGGGCACAGGGGTTACGTGCCCCCTCCCCCTTAGGTTCCGAGGGGCCCTTCGGGCTACTCGGAACGTACGACTAAAGGCCCGATTTGAGAGCTCGATTTGAAAGCCCGAGGGGCCCGAAAAGCCAGCCGGGGGTCTTATTCAGGAGCCACGGCCCGCAGGGCTGGGCACTCAGATGCCAACCAGAGGGCCCTGGGCGCTGATCAGAGGCACACTGAGTCGATAAGGGCCCATCTTTCGGTAAGACGCCACCAGTGACGCACATTGGGCTCTGTGGCGGCATGAACCTACGTTCCCATTTCTGAAGCAGGGACAAAGCCGAAACCAGCGATTTACGTTGGTCGGGGCCCACAGCGCCTAACAGGGGCCCTGTGTTGTCAATGGACCCTAAGTTGGCCAGATGCAGTGTTCGAGGAGACCCGGAGAGCCTAGAGGGCCCACCCGGTTCGACGATCAAGGGCCTGGTTGGAGGCTCTAAGGGCATACAGGGCTGCTCGGAGTCTTATTCAGGGGCCCAGACCTGCGAAGACAAACCCTCAAATAACGGTCAGAGGGCCCTTTGTGCCGATCGCGGGCCCTTAAGTCCAAATGGGCCTATATGTCAGCCAGGTACCAGCGTACTACATGGTCGGCTTCATGTCGGTGTGGGCCTGATGACCTACTTTCCGATCAGCTATAAAGCCGGGGCCACTTATTTACACTGCTCGGGGGCCTTGTATCTGTCAGGGGCTCACAGCGCCAACCAGAGAACCCTGTGGTCGCAAGGGCCCCGAGGCAGCCAAGGGAAGTGTTTGATAAGGCCCAAAAGAAGAGCCCGGGCGACCCACCGGAACCATCGCCGCGTAGCCGTGCCAAATTGTGCAGAACTGTAGAAAATTGAATGACGGATTGTTTGGTGTACACAATTTAGATGCAACTTGTTAGGTCACTGACCTTTGGCAGGTCAACGTCAAGCCATAGTTTCAGTGAAGTCAATTTCTAGGGAATCGTTCATCTCATGCAACAACATAGTGTTGGACGAAACCATACATCTCTGAGATGCTTTTTTAGGCAACAAAAATATTGAATGAGCAAATGGCGTTGGCCTGAGGTCAGGTCTGAAGGTCAGACCAAGGTCAAACACAACCTGTTTTGTTACTCTAGGTCCTGCTGTATGGGATAGCTTCTGGTGCTCACTTCGAATTTATTCATAGCAGGAATCGCATTATACATCCTTCACGGGCTTTTCGAGGTGAGAATAGGTCATTGACCTAAAATGGCCCAGGTCAGCATTTTGCTTTTGGAAACATACTGCCTAGCGTAATCTTTGTCGCTTATTCAAGTGCGAAACTCAAAGCAGTCTTGCGTGATTTTGGTCGCCATGACCTTCGGAAGGTCATACAAGGTCACTAACCTGAAATGAGCACGTGGCTTTTTGCTTAGAAACAACTGTCTAGGTTTGGGGGGCACTTTGGAGACCAACCTGGATTTTGACCTTGTTTGACGTCATTTGACCAGAATGTGATGGCCTAGGAACCTCAAACCTTACCCTAGATGAGTTCACGGACAGGTCAACACACCCTGCAAATTTGGTGTCTCTAGCTTTCCTTATTCCCGAGATCTCAGGAGGGGGAGGGGGGTGTCAAATTGACCCTCCAACCGAGCGAAGGGTATATAGCCGGCCACCCGAGCGCGTGCTGGAGAAGGCTACGCAGGCGTGACGTCACCATGGAACTAAAATTTAGCAGCCCGTAGTATAATTTTTGGTTGATACTACGCAAAGGTTGGTAGATACTAGCAACATGACTGCGAAAGGAGATGTCATCGATGAGCTGGGTAGCAATGCTGTTCTACATCTTTATTTTAATGGTATGTGAATATATATTATACGTTTTTCGCTTCAAACCTTCCAAAGACAAATCAATACCACAATCAACTTCGAAAAATAGATCCTACTAAACAACGTTTTCTAGGTGCATTACCCACGCCATATTTGTCATAGTCAACGTGACTGGACATTCATATGTAATGCTTCGCTGTGAAATGAATATCTAGTTGTAAATAACTGGATACCATGCGTAATGTTTACACTTAAGCTATAAATGAGCCATAATTGTCCATTTACCGTCGTACTACAGTATTTATATGGAGAGAAATGTGAAAATAAGGTAATGTGAGGGGGTCAGGTGCCGAAGTTTTCGCTGTTAGGTTACCATCATCCTCCTAGTCGATGGTTAAATTACAGATCCATAAAGTCGGATGGGTTAGGTGAAAAAAGTACGCAGGGAATAATGCTCTGACTACCCTTGTGTAACCCCAAGACTGTTTTCCAGCCCAGATATGGGCCACCACTCGCTGAATGACAGATATTGCAAAACATCCAGACATCGTCCCATTTTACGGGAGAATTTGCTATCTTGAACTGAAATGACGCGCTCTGCATGTACGCGTCCCGCGATTCACCCCTCACTGCCCCCATTAGAGCAAGCCAACCCTGCATCCATCTCGACAACACCCCATCCAAGGCTACAGGATGTGCATTCCAATTTCTCAATGCGCGTCCCAGGGTGCTGCACAAGCCCGTCTGGGCCGCCGTTTCTCATCTCCACCCTATGTTGTTGTTGTTGTTGTATGTTGTACTCTTTTACGCAGACTGTTTTTGAGCACTTCTGGCCACAGTTGTTTTTTGGCACAAATCACTGATGAATAGGTTACCCTATCTCTCCGTCGGGTGCAGGATGGAACCACATTTCAGCAATAATTTTGTAGCTGTGGTGAAAACCAACGCCCCTTCCCAGCAGAAAATGCTCCACTGAATGTGCCAGGCCGAAAAATGCAGTTTGCCGAAATATTCGTGTGTAAACCGGCCTGCAAAAACAGCAGTTTCACGCCGCCGCAACAGTGGTGCCATATGATTTAGTCCCATAATGACGCCACAGCTTCGCCTACCCAGAATGCAGTAATGCGGGGACGGATGGAATGATTCGCAAGGTAAAAAAAAACCTGAATGAATGAAAAAACTTAACAGTTATGCCCGCTTTTGAAGGCATTTCAAGAAGCGAGGCGGTGATGTAGAGCTCAGGAAGAAAGCTTTTCGAGGACAATCCGCCGAGTTTTGCGCCAAAGAACCGCTTAACGTAAAAATTTTCTATGACTTCGGAAGCACCAGTTGGACTCAAAACTGCACCCTCGGGTTACCAGTTTATTTTGTGCATCACAGCTGCCGCCCTGTGGGGTACCTTCTTCAGGCGAATCCATGGAGCTTTTAGTCCCAGTTGGCAGTTAGATTGGGCTTCGGTTTAGCAGATCACCCGACAGAACAAAGTGGTCGCATCGATGCAGCCTATGACAGTATACCGGAGCGAGTGCGGGCGTATCTCCCACCTTCCTAGCTGAAATATTTTTGAGGAGCAGTCGGGTATAGCAGCGCAATAAAAGGTTTATAAAGTGCCCCAAGCTCCTTGGTAGCGGCTTCCGACCCGGAAATGGCCAGGCACATTCACGCGGCTCCATTTAACGGGGCCGGTCAAGTCAATGCACACTGGGGCCTAGTCATTCACCAGAGCTTGGCCCTGACGGGTGCTATTTTCATTTTGCAAGAGGTACCACTGGTTTGCTCCACCTGTATCTAGCAAATACCGGATAAGACTTCTTCGAGCATTAACGAATGAAGGCCTTAGAGCGCACCACAATCCATGTCCATAACATTTGTGCTATTCATAATGAATGCAGTGGTTTAATTGACAACGATATTCCTCGTATGACAGTAGGCCCAAGTTATAAGACTGTCGACCGTGCAATGCTATCTCGTTAACGCAAAAACGGGATCAGATGCACTCCAGCGGGTCCATGGTCACCACCGCCGGCTTCAGTACCCGGAGTGCCGCATGAATGGTGCCAGAATCGAGCTGGGACTTGGAAGTAGCTGTTATGAAGTGAAGTGCGCCGAAAATTTATTTCATGCTATCATCTAACGCGTAATTTTGTCAGTTCACTTACTGGTTTACTTAGGCAAACTTAGGCAAAATTGATCTTGCAGTAGCTACTGGCCAATGTTCCAGTTATAGAAAAAATGCTTCCTTATATATATATATATATATATATATATATATATATATATATATATATATATATATATATGAACATGCACCCAATAAAAACGTGTCATATTCGGCGATTTTTCACTGTCAGCAGGCCCTTTGTTAACTCTGTGCCCGCCTTGCCAAGGCTCTGGCTCCGCCCCTGCCCTGATACAAGGTGCAGACCTCCCACCTTTGCAGGAATACAGAAACTGGGGGAGCCGGGACAGACACCCCCCAAAAAAGGGGTAACCGCCAAATGGTTTTCAGCTTCCCTCCAACTTAGAGAGATTCCGTCGCAACTGAACCTTTAAAAGCATCCTTCGTTGAAGCAAGATCTTCACATTAGTTTGCAGTGCATTGGCGAGGGACATTATTCACATAGATAAGGCAGTATTTTTTACCCTATTCCTCGGAGAAAACCGAGAGAATGGAGATATACTTCGGTTGATATTTCGGCAACATGCCTTTATAGAAATAACAGCAGAAGTTGCGAAGAATGAAAGAATAGCACTTCTGCTATTGTTTCAATAAATGCATGTTACCGAAATATCAACCCAACTATATCTCCATTCTCCTGATTTTGTCCGAGGAATATGGCTAATACTACTATCTTATCTTAGATCTGTACCAGCAATGCTCAATAACCAAGCAATAACATATGCGCAAACGCAGTCAAACACCGAGCTCGACTTGGTGAAGTTCAGCGCAGCAAGGTAATTGGCAGGACAACGTAGTTTTTGTATCGCGCTTGCACGACACCTCTGGGATATTTTCCAGCATTGACGGCAGGCATGCTCAAACGCCTCGGTATTTCAATATACGCTGCCGGCTCCCATTCTCGCAATTTGCGACAACTCGCGACGTTTTACGAGATCCTGGGACTCCGTAAGGGTGAGTGTCGGTGCGTGGTTGGGATCCGCGTACGCTATGTTGTTTTCCTTGGTTTGTGTAATAAGTTGGGCAAATAAGCTATTTTAGTTGCTGTTAGAATTTGAAGTACTTATTTTTGCTTATGTGAGTGCAACTATTTCAGAGCCATCTTGAAGAAGGGGAAAAGGAAGGTGTCCTATATGAGGACTCCACCGAAACCCATTCCTTGTTTCTGAAATGAGCTATTCTGGTGGTAAGCAGCCAGCGCCACTCATACCACAGGGAGGAAGCTATCCGCAGATTTATCCTCAGCCAGGATATTCATATGGTGAGTACATGTGCACTTGTTTTGTACCTATTTGGTGGTGAACGTATGGTACAAGTGGGATGGGACCTGCATGTTCTAGACCAGGATGCAAAAAAATGGTGTTATGATGAGCATATCTGACATCACAGCATCATCACATGTCCAGTCCATATAAGTGGTAAACAGGGCATGCATAATCTGGCACAATGGCAGGCATGCATGGTCATCAGTGCCAACATTCTGGGCAGATACAGAGTCAATGTTTATGATTATGATATAAAGGAGACCTCAGGCAAACTGACTAAATTTGCCACAGATGAGATAAATTTTCATGCAAAAATAGGTCAAATTGGGTAATTTGGATGTGCCAGAGTTTGATATGTGGCATCTGCCACAATGAATTCAATTTTTACATCCTGGGTGGTGAATAAATAAGGTAGTTGGGTACTTGCCGGGGCTCTAGCTCTAGTTTTCAAAGAAATCACCCTCATGCTTGACATTTTAATTGCATTGGTGTGCATCTGGAGCATTTGTTAGCTGGGTATTGTTCAAGGGACCAGCTGAGTTCTTTTTTTTGTAAAAGGAATAGTTTGAGATCATTTCTGGGTATTCACTTACAATATTTAGTAGGCCTGGATCAATATGCTGGCTTTTGAATTGATAGATTGATGCTAATGAGAAAATGAAGCACAGCCATGCACCTATAAGCCAGAAGGAGCACCACATGGCAAATTGGCATGCAACCCTGGCTGACCACACAGAGTGGTGACCACATGCTGCAACCCTAGTGCAAGGTTGACCAACTGTGTCTTATGGCCCAGGTTGATGCACAATATGGCCTGGCATGCAGGCTTCCATATTTCAGCAAACTGGGTCAATGGCATGATATTACATCCCATACAATTATCAGAGCAACATTATGATTCTTTGAAACAGTGGCTCTCCCTGGTTTGAGGTCAGTGGAAGCTATTTTCCATGCTCTGGGCACTCAGATACCTACAGTGCCCATCTGCCATAATGTGTATTATCTTGCAGCCTGGCTCGGGCATGAGCTCATTGTCAAGCGCCAAATGTTAGAGGGCTGTTGTCATTGTCAGTGGCTTAATTCTTTGTTATCAATTGAGTCAGCTTGTTTTGTTGTGTCACTTGTTATCACTTACCCCTTTCGCTCTTTGAAATATTTGCTGGTCACTCTTTTTTATCCTTGGATGGGGTTGATTTTCATCTCACAGCATGGACTGAGAATGCAATTTTTTCCAAGATATATTTGCAGATTAAAATGTCCTTGGACCAAGAACACCTGGGCTTTAGGCATTGCTAAATTTTGCAGTGCATGATGATGATCAGTAACAAAACTAATTGATATACAAAATGGCCCAATAATTATGAGATCAAATTTTTCATGAGCCACCATAGTCTTGTTACATTTGTGTGGGTTGCACATGCCCTGGCACAAAGAGAGCATGAAAACCTTGTTGACAAAAATATTATATAGATGTATCTTTGTTTATACAAGGTATATGTTATTGGGAAGATGTGGTGAGCACTGCTTTAGTGCTGGGACTACATTGTGATGGGATGAGCAATAGTACTTAGTCCTGCAGAGAAAAAGTTTCAATATGCCTGTATGTGAATGGTGTGAAGAGAGCCATTTTAATTGGAACCCATGTTGCTGAGATGGGCACTACCCATTTAGTGCAACATAACATAAGTTGGACTAGAGGCAGCATAGGGAGACATGTTTTTCAAATATGTGAGAAGCCAACAAAAGTGATTGCCAGGGATAGGTTTCAGTTATTAGAAATTAAACAGTGAAACAGCATAAACTTATTATCAATCTGAGCATGTTGCATGGCACATTGTGCCATGCCGCAGTGATTGGATATTTGTATAGATGAGCCTGATGTGCTGCCTGTGGATACATCTGCTGTTGTGAGCTGGCACGGTGTTGTTGCAGACAAGGCGGACGTGGGGCCCGTGGGGCTGTCGGACGGCAGAGCGGCGGCGCTGAGCCAGCCGGGCCGCTCCTACCCGCAGCCGGGCCGCATGTACAGCCACAGCGTCCAGTCAGGTCAGTGAGCGGTCCTCCGCCAGCCGCCCACCCGTCTGCTCTCCCACCAACGGTGCCGCGCGACTGATGTGAAGCGGCCGTGGTTCAGGCCGACACAAACGGTCATGGAGATTTTCCGTCGACTTCGTTACTCTGCCACTTTCCCGACGCATGCCGAGAGATGTAGTGGAAGAGCATGGCTCACTCATTCCAGCATCTCGCCATGGCTTTGATGATTGCCGTAAAACAGGGTTTACCATTGGCGTGCCGTGAATTCTTTCGAAACATCGAGAGGAGTTTATCTGGCCTGCTGCATTGGTGCGGTTGTATACACATTGTTTTTTTCTGTTCGTCCGTTCAAATAATGACCATTTGCATATGGCTCAAGGATTTGGAAAATGTTACAATTTATCTTTTGCTTCGCGTTCATCCACAGGCCGCTTGTAAAGCTGGCCAAGGAACCTTTGCCCCCTTCCCCCTGCTGCCTGGACACTTAACACGTCCCATATCATCCCGATTGTGACATACAGAAACAGTGCACACGGCTGATAACGTTGTCGGGACGCGTCGGCTCGCCCTGGTTATCTTTGCCAGCCTTTCCTGGGGTCCAAGCCTGGCGAGCGCCCCCCCCCCCCCCCGCCCCCACCTCCGAGCCGGATGTGTCGCGGTCCGCGGACGACCGTCACTGCGGGTCCTTACACCGCGGCTGGGCGTCCCGTGTCTCCTTGCTTCTCCCTGTTATACATACTCCCTGGCATACGTTTGTGCTCCGAAGGTTATGTCCATTTCGGCATTCCATGGGCAGCAAGCCTATGTTTCGGCTGGGAGATTGGCATTTGATCGAGCATTGCTGTCCCCTCGAGCAGGGCAAGCGGAAGGGGCCAGCGGTCGTCTGTTGTCTCCTGGCCTCCTGGGCTGTATTGGCATGCTGGTTCCATGCGGCGGGCAAAAAGGGACTGGCAAAAGGAGACTGAGAGACTGGTGAAAGAGAGAAAATGTTTACTGGAGCTGAGCCGGCGCGCATTGTCCAGCCTTCCGTTTAACAACCAAGCACCCGCTCGACTACGTGCGAAGTACTTTGTCCGCTTATTTTACCGCCACTGATCTTTTTTTGCCCGAATACGCCCCCTTTAGTCTGCGCCCCACCCCGGCTCGCACTCTCGGCAGAATGGGTGCAAATATTTCGAACGAACCCAGAAGCACGGGGTTCGATTCTCCGCGGTGCCCGCCCTGCCCGCCAGGGTGATACGCAGGCGACGCCATGCAGCATCAGCGTGTGAGAAGCCCCCATGACGACGTCCCGGGGGGATGGGGGAGGGGGGAGGGGGCGCTCAGCTGTGCGGTCCCGACGGTACAGGTAGCGGCGCCTGCGGCCGTGCCTGTCGCAGCCGGAGGGGACGGTACGGGACAGTGGGCCTCGGTGGCGTCCCTTCAGAGCGACGCTCGTCGCGTGGTTCCTGTTGCTGGTTTTGACTGCCAGGGTCACCTGTTGCATCCTGCATCGGACGGGCGTGGCGGCGGCCATCCGGCGCACCGCTGTTTGGATTTGTACCCGGGGATCCAACCCAGATCCCCCCAGTCGGCGACACGTCGACTCCGGTGCCGTACTGAAGCTGGCAAAATGAAAAAAAGTGCTGGAAACACCTTCCTCCTGCGATTTTTCTTTTCACAAGTTGTTAACCGACTCCATTTTCTGTTTCACTTCCTCCCATTTTCACCCGTTGGTTTTTGAATAGACCGCGCCTGCCTGGAACTACGCCTGCTTGTTAGCTCACCTGTCACAGGAGTTTTCTTCAACAATATGAAAATAAGCTCCATCTGCACCATGCTGCCCCCGGACGTGTTATTTCGATTTCGGTGATAAGTTACAGGCTTTGATATTTTGATGCTGATTCGATACTATTTGCATGCTACGGAAATGCTTATTTGCTATTAGTTTGAGGGCGACATCATTCTGGCGGTAGGAATGTCGTGTGAGTGGGAAAGTGAGCATGTCATACGAGTCTGCCTTTCCGAGCAACGTTTCTCTCATTTGACGATTTATGCAGAAATTTGGTGTGAGTGGTACACCCGGCGGCCCCGTGGTAGCTGCAGGGTAACTCGGAGCCTCTGGGCGATCGGCAGCAGCTGCCACGTGCGTCTATTGGGAGGGAGAGAGGGGAGGGGGAGGGGGCAGCGCCGGTCACGAGATCGATGGGCCGGCCACTGGCCCGCATTGCCCCAGACCCAGCCGTGATGCGGCGCCGCCCCGCGTGGCCGCCTGTTCACTATTGATTGCGCCGGTCTTTGTGCGCCAGATGGGCGTTTTTGGCGGCCGGGCAGAGGTGAAGAGCAGCACCGGGGGAGCAGCGCTGCCGGTGCCTGTGCGGCCGGCCCGCAGACGGCGGCCTGCCGCCGCGCAGGCGACGGCCATGGCTTTCTTCGGGCGGTCACCCCGCTTGTAACGTCAGCCGCTCAAATTTTCGTTGATGTAGCCGGTATTTCTCGAATGCGCGTGGAGGCTGGGTCACCAGAGGTCTGCCCACGGCGGGAATCGACCGCATCGGTCTCAGGCTTGCGGCCGCCTGTCCCATCGTATAATGCGAGTCCCAAAGCATTCAGCACCACTCGGTCGACAGCCGCAGGCGCAGTGTCCGGAACCGCAGCGCGCCGGACTGCGCGCTCCCCCTCCCCTCGCCCGTGATCGCCGGGCGCGTGGGCAGCGGGCGTGTGGGAGGCGGCCGAGACATATGGCACAAGGGTGGGCAGGTCGATGAAAGCACTACGGGCCGCTGACACCACTGTTTCCTAACCGGCGGGTGGGGATGGCGGAGCGATGGTAGGAGTTACACGGCTTCAACCAAAGTACAAACTGTATGGAGTCCGCACGCAAGACATGGCGCTGTCCCCTGATACAGGTGGCTCTTGCCTTTTCAGGTGTTTGTTCTTTGCTCTATGATAATTATATGAAGGGTTAGCTGTAGCATTGGGCGTTATGGTGAGCAGTGGCATATGCAAGTACCGCAGCAGTGGTGATGGTTCTCAAAAAGATGACAACACTGCGAAGGGCCAGTGTTTCGACCACGGTCGCTGCAACGGGATTGTATGATCTAGACTTTGCAGCAGCGACTATATTTAGCTTTTTCCGTATCTTTTCACGGGAAAATATGATTGCAATCACAGTTTTCCCTGATTCCATAAGCGAACAGGAAATGTGGAGACATTTTGGTGGGCTCAATCTTTTTGAGCCGAGCTAACGTGGTCAGCGCTCCTTTGACCTGGGCTGACGAAGTCAGCGCCCCTTTGACCCGGGCTGACAAGATCAGCGCTCGGAGCGCCGCTGCAGGCGAGGTGCCGTCGCGCTCCACGCACGTGCTGTGAACGGGGCTGGCCGTCGCGGCGTGGTGCTGTTGTGCAGTGGAGAGCCAGCGCTGGGCGGCACGCGCGCAGCAGCTGTCCAAGGGCGGCGCATGCGGCCGAGCCACTCATCTCTGTGTACGCGGCACTTGTCTGTGCTCGCCCGGCGCCCGCGGACGCCACCGCAGTCGCGTGCGGCCACGGCATGATACGCGGCGGTGCTGGCGGCGCCTGGGGCGTGCCTGGACCGTGACGTCAGAGCGTGCAACACCCCCGCATCGGCGGGACGGCGAGGAGTGATCGGAGTCGGGCCGGATGCAATCAGTAGTCAGCGGTCCACCCGTCAGAAGCGGTCCTGCCGCAACGGAGTGGGCAGAGCTGCGAATAGAGAGTGGGCATGACTGTAGATCGAAAGTGGCGTGCTACGAGCGCCCTTACCAATTAGAACTCACGGAGCGGGGAGCGTCAGGGCCGAGTGCTCAGCGCGGTGCAAAAAACACCCTCTGGAGGTGGCGAAGGGTTCTGGGGCCGAAGACACATTCCTTTTATGGGGACTTAAGACGCTCGAAAGACTTCAAAATTATTTTTGGTTCGGATTCGGAAGGCACACAAATGGTCTCAAGCCTAGAGTCTTTCTGAATCGAACACATGACCCTTAATAAGCCTGACGTACGCAGGGCAACGAAATTCATGCTTGTCGAAAGTAAGTATCAGAAGAAGCTCACTGTTCGCTCACATCATATGGCCCCAAGCGGTTTCTGGGTTTAGGACATGCTTTCCGACTATGGCAAAGTCTAATGATCAACCGTTCATTGCCATCATTGTGCTAGTGAAATCCCACACTGGTCAGACTTCGGCCTGGGATAGCCGCCTTGAACCGAGCACGGGCCGCTGCCGGCCTGTCCGCGGCCGGTCGGCCCGGCCGTTGCCGCTCCGCTTTTGGGGACACGGTCTGGTGAGCTGGGGGGGGGGGGGGGGGGGGGGAGGGGAGGAGGGTCGGAGACGCAGGGCCGCTCGAGAGCCGTCAGACAACCGGCTTCAGCGGGCTTCTCTGTCGGCTCGGAAGGGCTTCTCTTTCGAGTGGAGCTTGTACGGCGCCTGAGGTGCGCCCACTGTCCGCGAGCTGGCGCGCAGTGGGCCAGGCACCGGTGTGAGGAATGCCCCACAGCAGCATCTTTCCCGAAGTCCGCAGAGGCAGCGTCGAGAGGGATTTCAAATGTGATGAAGAGCAGCCATTCATCAGTTTATCGATGGGGGCGTGTTTCTTGTGTCTGTCGCGTTGAGTGATGACATTGCTACGATTGTACAACAAGGCGTGTTGCTTATCTGGGGGTACGCGTGCGCATTGTACAGATTTCCAGCTTGCCACTGGTTTTAGCAAGCTCGCGTGTGGGCTCGTGGTTGAGCCTTTGTTATGATGACCATGTTGGAAGTCTTGCCCTTCAGGTTTTTGGTGCGAACGTCAAGGATTCTCACATGCATAAACAACTGGTCATGCATGGTGGTGATCTTGCTGCTAGGGAGTAGATGGCACTCCGTTTAGCGCCATCTGAGCCGGGGGAGGGGGAGGGAGGGGGTATTTACCGGGATTCATGCCAGTCAGGTACATCATCTTTAAGCCGGCAGACGCCATGAACCACTCCAATCATCGCATCCAACCATTGTGGCATCGCAATACGCTTGAG